CAGGGGAGAGGTCGATAGAAGCCTGTGATTATGCACAGAGGTTGAAAGGAGCCAACGGATGCCTCATTCACTAACACAGTAAACATGGAAAAATATTAGTGCTAACATGCTCACTAGAGAATCAAGAATGATGGAGCTGTTACTGAGTCATAGTGCAAGTATTTGTTCAGTGTGGGGGAAAAATACCACAGTTATAATGTGTAATGTGTGGCATGCGTGACTGATTAGACACCAAAAAAAAGAAAAAACCCCACTAATAATGGCCTTATCTTATCTTGCTTTACTTATCTAATTCTTAAGACAAATAAATGGGATTACTGAAGAGGCTAAGGACCACATCTGGTGACATCACCAAGAAAAATTGTTTGAGAAGCTACAGGCATTTCCAGGGATCAACAAACAAGCTCTGCTGGCTGTGTTAAATAGGCAGGGGCTCTGACATAAAAAAGAAAATCATTTCCTTTGCAGACAGTTCAGGTTCCAAGCTAATGAAAGCTTGACACTGAGACCCAGTGTAGGACAGATTGAGGAGAGGAAACGGAACGATTGGTGAGTAAGACCAAAGGAAAGTGCAATCCTTCACAGTGTGTTTGAATAAGCAGCACTGAATTTATGGTGTATGTCTGCCTGCATTCTGGAAGGGATGCTGCCCCCCAAAAAATGACAGGAGACATACTTTAACATTTATGTGTGTGTGTAGGCGCACGTGCTCACACTTATAATTACACACATATGACTATAAACATATTTACATACACCCACAGTCATGCACTTTCACGTGCAGATGCTTACAGTCTCTGACAGGTCCAGTGACAGGTCTGAACTTCAATTAATGAAAAGCATGTGTGCTCCAGGAGACTAAACCTTTTTCAAGCTTGTCTTCTCTTGGCTAAACACTTTCATCCTCACCTTGACCTATCAGTCTCCTTGCTTTCATGAAGCTCTCTACCTGAATGTGCATGTGTTTGCGAGTGGTTTTGTACATGGATGACATACACACGGTATATTACCAAGAGTTATTAGTCCTTTCCATCATCCATGCTTAACTCTGTCTCTGCTCTGTCCTCCCCATATCTACTTTGTTTCCACTTCTTTGCCTTTCCTCTGCTCTTCCTGTTGTGAAGCAGATTAGTACACTTAGTGCTTCTTCAAACAATGACCCTGACAGGAACCAGAGGGTCTAAAGAAGAACCAAAAGAATCAGATGCATAGATGGGCCGTACATTTTAAATCACAAAAAGACATATTATTAGATAATACTCCAAATTTAAAACCAGTGTGTCAGTGTTAAATTGACTTTTTTAAAGAAACATGTGAGTAATATTTATAGCATGAGCTTTAAAATTACTGCCAGCTTCAAAACAGAATCATTTGTTGACCTCAGGAAGTGAACCCTCAAACCCTCCTACATACTGTATGTCAGCCATTAGAAAGCTACAACTCAGTGTTCTACTGCATATTGACCTGCCATCACAGAAGTTCAGAACATGAGACATGTTGCAGCATTGACCAGTGTAGCCCAGGATCTTAAATTATGCTTGTATTGCAGTCTTTCCAAGCAGTAATTTATCTTGCAACTAATTATAGGGACTATTTTATTACAGATTTCTATTACCTCAGATTCTGTTTATTCAAAAGTAGTGAAGCGCCACAAAAAATGGTGAGCTAGTGAAAACTAGAGTATATTCAGCTACCATCTGGTTTACTCATTTAAAATTTAATAGAACATCCTTGCAATATATCCTACCTTCATTAAGTCATTTGAGGCAGTAGCTTGTGGTGCTTTTCAGCTGTATTACATTATAATGTCAGCTTTAGTAGCACCTTCATATTATCAGGCTCATATTATTACTTTCCATCTTTCTTTTGGCTAGCTGGTAGTGGGTGGAGCTATTTCAGAGACCTGGCACATTAAGTGCTCATGCAAGATAGTATTTAGGGTGAAATTTGCTGAGCTACTGAGCCCACACCTGTTTGTGTGCTTGGCTTTTCCAGAGAACTGTTTAGCAGGCTGCTTTCAGATGTGTTCCTGTTTGGAGGAACAATGAACAACAAAGAATGTCTATGACGAACAGCTTTTGAGCTGGTGGCCCATCAAGTCTCTGTTTGCTGACCAGCCTCCAAATTCTTTCCTTTACTCATCACTAATTTATTACACACACACTTTATGAACTTAGAAACTAACAAGGGGCTGACCTCTAGGCTTTCTAATTACAATGAGATGTTCCAAATATGTAGTCACTGACAGTGGGGATGGATAAAACAGTCAAAACACGATAGTGACTAGAGTATTTCGTCCATCTGGTATACTGTATTATATTGCTAACCTGGAGTTATAATTTATCCATTGTCCACTGTTTTTCTAAAATCAGTGGTGGGGGCAGCAGGTCTAGGTGGGCAGCTCACACATCCCTCTCCCCAGCGATGCTCCCCAGCTGTGGGACCCTGAGGCACTCCCAGGCTAACCGAGGTATATAATCTCTCCAGTGTATTCTGGGTCTACCCCAAGCCTTCTACCAGTTGGACATGCCCAGAAGACCTCCAAAGGAAGGCCCCCAACGGAAGGCCCCCAAGAGGCATCCTAATCAGATGCCTGAAGCACCTCAACTGGCTCCTTTTGATATGAAGGAACAGCGGCTCTAATCCGAGCTCCCTCCGGATGTCCGAACTCCTCACCCTATGTGCAAGCCTGAGTCCAGCAACCCAATGGAAGAAACTAATTTTGGCCACTTGAATTCTCAAGTTCCTTCATTCTTTGGGTGGGAGTTATAATCTAAGCAAATGTTAAATCAAATTGCTTACAGATTCTGACAGCTCATACACTGCAATCATGTGTTTTCAGATATTGCGAGGAAGGTGGGACAGACCGCATGTTGCCTTTCTATCATTTTCAATTTGTATTTCTTTGCAGAAATCCCACCCAAAAACATCCCTTCTCAACCTAAAACAGACTGTTGTAATGGTACAATAAAACTACACCTAAAGCGGAAACAGTAACTTCTGCTTCTTTTAACTGCCTTCACACTGCCTGAAAATGACAAGAGGATAGCCTACAGCAGCCAAGTTTTGGCAATTGCGCCATGAGGATTGAGTCTACCTTTGCTTGAGGGAACACAGGAGATGGTGTTGCTGTTCATAAAGAGCAGTTCTTTCCAGCCTCCAGTGTATTGTCAAAGCTGGAAGCTGACAGGCCTCACAATTAATGTAACATTGTACAAGCACTTGCATGAGCTACACTGCAATCATGCTACTCATATAGCCAGCTGCTGTTCTCCATTACTGACCAGGCAAAGGTGAGTGTCTGTGGAGTGCAATGTCACAGCTTGGCTTACACATAAGAAGGGATGGCAGCTCTATTGATGTTTGTACTCATGTCTCTCGAAAAACCTGCTTTATATATTAAAAGTTAATACAAAAAATGTCAATGATTTCAAATGCTGGTAACATATCATTTTTTCTGGCAATTTATTTTTTTGCAGTACAAGCCAAACAGATGGATTCAAGCTGTCACTAGACAAACCCTACAGTACCTACTGATGGACCGTGCATGTACATTTTCACTGTAATGGAAACCTCATGCTTGTAAGATATGCAGAAAGTTCTCATATCCAAATTTGGACAATGTAAGATAACGGTCTTCTCATGGAATGGAAATCTCTTTTTTCCTTGTCACCACTGATGGAAATAAACATTCAGAGACTGAGCAAGGTTACAGCCACGAAGTGGAACCTGTTACAGCTCCTCAGTGAAATTAAGTCTCTCTTTTCATGGATAAATCCTTAGATGGCCCCTAACTGTTCACTTTTTATTTAAGATTTTCTTTTTATCCATACAACAATAATTAGTGTAGAGTATGGGAGACCAAAATTAAAACACACACACACACACACACACACATACACATACACATACAGTTATGTGCTGCGTTTTAATGTTGTTTGCTTCCCTTTTTCTCACTGAAGTAATTTATGCCATGTATGCCTGGTGAGGAAGAGGAAGAACTCAAATGCATACAAAAGGCAGGGCAACACTTCCCAAGTAATGCTCTGCTGATGCAAGCCAAAATCAACTTTCACCAAATACTGGATATTAGATCATTTTCACAAATTGGCCCTGCAGAAACTCTTGTTAGAGGACAGGGGTGTGGGCACTCCATAGGGACCCTTGTGTGACCTACTCCATGTGTTATCAGGACAATAAGACGATTACTTGGTTTCTTATCTTTCCAAACACATAGAGGTTGGCTGAGATTGTATCAGCAGGGCTTACAGAAATTTAACAGTTGTTAAATGATACTAAAGCACCAATGCAGTGCAAACTGAAAGGCAAAGGTAAATATTTACAGTACAGTATCGGACAGAAGGGCCGTGTTAAATTTCCACACAGAGGTTTCCAGATATTGTAAAGGTTTATCATTACAAAAACATTAATTAGTGCTCTGGCACCATTATTTGGCAGGCGGTGATGGCGGTTTGCACACTGCCAATCATCACTCCTTAATGCAGCAGCGGTGGAGGAGGACTGGACTCACTCCATAATCCCAACCAGTCCGGAGACCCCAAACAGCTACCAAGACGGTGTTAACTGAACTCAACGAAAACACGGGAGATAAGAAGAACTTGATGACAACCAATCAAAAGACTGTTTCTCTTCACTTGTTGTCCAGATCTCCCTATTCTCTTGGAGTGTGAAGGTAATGCAGTCTACATATTAACCTGCTTTATACAACCCCCACCCCAGCAGTATATTCTATTTCCCTCCTTTCAACAGTATGCAGAAATGCACAGGAACTGTCCATTTTATAAACAAAGCAAACGTGGTTTCCTCTAATACAGTATTGCTTTGCAGCTATTACTGTATAATGTAAACTGAGCAAAACCACAGGGGGTGTAACTTATTGGAAATATTTTATAAAACTATTAATTGTTGATATTTTTATGTATTGTACATACCATTTTAATACATGTAACACAATAACATATGCAAATCCTCCAACTTACCAGGTTTAGGGGCTTTTCCACCTTGTCCTGTTAGATGGAAACAAGTAAATAAATTAAATGTATGTGATACTTTACTTTTTCCTATAATACCAAAATATAAAGACCCACAGTACATTCATATCTTACAGGCACTGCTGTACATTTTTCAACTTTGTTTAGTATTTTATTTAAAAGGCACTTATTCCTGTTTTTGCTTAATAAAAACAAGATGTTGATAAAAGGTCTGAATAGGAGACAGCAACTCTTCAAGGCAGTTGTATTTTCATTGAATTTATCAAACAATAAAGTGTTTGCAAGGTTTTTTTTCTCTGTTTTAACTTCATACCTGCAATTCCCAATCCACCAGGCCCAACACCTCCTGGCACCAAACCACCTGGGCCAACACCACCTACAAAACCTCCTCCTGTCAGGGTCAAACAGAGAGAGAGATTGTGCTCAATAGTGTCATTGTCATTATTGCTGTCAATATTTATCATCCTCATCATTTGCAAACAAAATCATCATGTCCTTATTATTTTGGGATCATTGTTAATAATCACTATTACTGAACACTGAGCTTGTATGAGAGAAACATATATTTCCAAACCTCTCACATCTTCCAAAAACTGGTTTAACAACATTGGTTGGAATCACATACAATGGTTATTGCCCATACCAATATCTGTATAACTATTCTCAGCTTGTGGTGGTGTGACAAAGAAGTCTCACCATGTGTTTGTCCCAGATCTGACCGAATCAAAGCTGAGTCCTGACAGGAAGGTTTGTCTTCAGAACAGCAATCTGTTTCTTGTTGTTGTGTTATGTGCTGCAACTTTAGTAGCACTCGAATACAAAGCTGAGTCTAAAGTTGAGTATATCTGCTGTAGATGTGTGAAATGACAAATACCAGACAGACTATACTGTATGTGGCTATGCATTAAGCTCAATTTATGCCCTGGTCATTTGCACAAACTGTCAGAACCCTGTGAAGGCAACACTTCTGCCATGTCTGAGGCATTACCATATGGAAAAGATTATATTTCTAATGATCATCATCAAGTAATTTTAGATACTGAAACATAAAGCTGAATAAGTTATTGAAATTCAGTAGTTTTTCTAAAACTTGTACTGAGACTGATTTCTAAATATTTCACAATTTATTCAAAGTGCTAAAGTGTGCAGATGGACTTGCTTGAGGTTTCACCCTTCATTCAAGAAGCTTCTTCAGTACAGAGGCCAGCAGCAGAACTGAAGACACTCCACAAATGAAAGGGGAAGCATCTTCATGAACCTCAGACAATCCAGTTGCACACTTTAGCACTTTGAATACACCATTGCCTGGATGAATGAGAATGTCCACTGACATTTTGCATTTAACTTGATAAAACTGAAAAAGTATCATGCACTAATTCATGAAAAACCAAATGTGATTCTTAGAAAAAATTTTTCAGTATATATGAGGAAAATCCTAAGACTAATCTCTCCTCTACTCACCTGCAGCTTTGGCTGGCTTATAGCCTGCATGAACTCCTGTAAAACAATAGTCATACAGAGCATTGAGTTATGGTGTGTCTACATGGAGTGATGTCATGGACAGTTGTTTTGCACAGCAATTCATCATTACACCAGATGACTTTCATTTTACTTTCTCTCAGAACATCAGGGGATTGTTGTGGCATCTTGTGCAATTTTATACATGCATGCATAGTCTTTATTTTTAATTTTATGTCCGGTACAGAACCAAGGCAGGCATCTGTGGCACCAACTCTCTCTCTCCCTCACAGACACACACTGATGGCGATGCGCTCCCTCTGGCCATTGGGGACAACTTGGGGTTCAGTGTCTTGCCCAAGGACACTTCAACATGTGGACTGGAGAGAACAGGAATGAAACCGCTGACCTTCCAGTAGTTAGGGGACAACTGCCACAGCCACCCCATACTCCAGAGAGGGGAGTAAGTCACACATGTGCAACTCTCAACTTTGAAGTCTCAAACTAGTTCCAAGTTAGAATCAAGCAAGTCCCTATTATTAGTCAAGCAAGTCACAAGTCAAGTCATACAAAATTCTACCCCAGTTTCCACATTTAGATCGATTAAAAGACAGTGGAGTTTTATTTTAGTCATTAACAAAAAGTGTTTCACCTGGAAAAATACTGTAAATATTAAGAAAATAAAATTTCACAAAAGTGCTACTTAGGTTTAATTAGGAAACCTAAAACATAGATATGTACAATATGGGAGAAATTATGGAAATGATCCTTTTCATTTGCGTTAGGAAACTGATATATATTGTGTCAATACATGCAACATGCTTGTATATTGCAAGTATTATTAAACTGCAATAGCAAATACACTTGTAGAAATTGTAATTGCTGACTGGATTGTGCTCAGCAACAAAGTGTTTTTGAGCAAATGAAGCCTTACTGATCTTAGTAGCTGGTTGGGGTGGATCGTGATAGTTCGACGCGTACAGTTCTGCCATCACTTTAGTTTAGGCAACAAAAGCACTTAGTTTAAGGACAGATTAAGGAAAGATCATGGTTTTGGTTAATTGTAAATAAACAGGATGTATCTGAAGTCACTATGAACCTTTGTTCTGTATTAAACCAGACCATGACCCTTCAGTAACCTTAACCAAATGCTGTGCCTAAAGATAACCATAAAAACATTTACTGGTCACTACAAGTGGATATTGTAATGCAAGACTAAACGTTTTGGCAGAAAACAAATGTAGTGTCTGTGAACATTTTACTGGTGTATTCAGTATCACACCATTAGCAGCTTGCCAAATACAGAAATTAAAAACATATTTTCATTACATTAATAGAAAATGTGAATTCAATTATGTTGCAAAATTCACTGCTGTTGCACAGCAAAGTATGAGGGAAAGATAAAGAGCACTTTAGTTTTTAAGTGTTACTAACTGTAACCATTTCAAGCACTGCTATCGTGTGACCCTAAGGTTGGCCATTTCAAGACAGCTGATAAATGTTGGTGTTATATTGTAGTATCTTGTTATTACAGTTCAAATCCTTTATATTTTATGTCTTGAGATTAATTACATGAATACATTTCTCTACATTTTGTAAGTATCTTTACCTTTAGTTCAATTTCAGTTCAAATTCAGATGTGTTTCTTTTCACTAAGTCCTACAGTAGTGTAATTTAACTGCTATACCACTGCTAACAATAAATCGATTTTTACTTTATTTTATTTTATTATTTAGTGGCTATATGGATTATTTTCATTTAAACTGTCTGCCCAGTCCGGTTACCTGGAAAGAATCCAGTTCCTGGTCCATTTGCAGCACCAGGCGGTATATACACACCTGGAACACACACAACAGAGAAAGCAAAAGGTCAGTTGTAGCCTCTCATCAACATGCGTGACAGTCGATAAAAACTTGCAAAAGAGTTTTCCGCTATCGGTTTTTAAAAATTTACTTAATTGCATGCAACGGCATTTCTAAACAATGAGCCTGTTTTCTAGACAAACATTCTCAAACATATTCATCATCTGTGGTCCAGACAGCGAAACTGAAAATTTTCCTTGGCATACACAACTGCCCCAAGTCATAGCAGTGATGGGGTGCGCAATGAAACGTGAACACCGTGGTGGCTCCAGTCAGAACCAGAGTGAAGCCAAAAAGAAAAGAAAAGAAAAATTTTTTAAAAACTTTATTGGCTTGATTAGGAGAAAAATCCAAGTGTTTTCATTCTGATGAGGTATTGCAGTTGGAAACATTTCAGAAAGCTGCTGCAGTGCTGTGGACACCCTCAGCCCCCACCTACACCCCCTATCCTCATTTCCATCCTGATTTCTGGCTGCAACTCAGAGTCATTCCTGAGATGGTCGTTCTGGATCCCAGACATGGTGGCCTCATGTGTGCGAAGAACAACAAGAGAAATAAAAGAGAGGGAGGATGAAAAAATGACTCCAGTTGTTCTGGGACACATAACAGCTAAATCCAGGGGGACTGGTGAGCTAAGGCCAAATTTACAGCGTTATATTTTTTATGAGGAAAATCTGGTTTATATCACTAAATGCACAATGCTATGAAGAGAATGGGGCTGCAGGACCACAATGATTATATTTAATGACTCTTACATGTGTTGAGAAGCCAATTAATTTAAACCACATGTCAAAGGCGTTCATGCGTTCATTAGCGAATAATAAGTGAACACTGCACTTTGAGTTCTCTCCCCTCAGTGTGTCTATTAAAGGAAGAACATTACAAGGCATTACTGTCTGAAAAGTTAAAATTCACTGCACTAAAGAAGGCTTTGACCTTTTCACTAACAAGCTGTGACATATGTAATGGGTTTGTGGTACAACAACCTCAGTATTCTTTCTGTTGCACAGCTCAAGTTAAGAAAATGAGTCATCAGTGCTAATCAGTGAAAGAAACCAGTAAAGTGCAAAATCCAGACACATACTGCAAGAATCAACTGTTGGATGGAGTTGTGACGATACCATAACATATACAAGATACTCACAGTACTTGAGAATAAAAACAGCATGGGCAAAGAAAATTTGTCTGAAAACATGGCAAGTTCTTTCATGCCTTGATTTTAGGTAAAAAGAGAAGCTGAAAAGTCTTGATATAACTGTGGGAACAATGCTGTTATATTTACTATAAAAAAAAATTCCATAACTGTACTCAAAATCTGATTAAAAACATTTGCCTGCTTTTCTTTAAGAGATAAATTCTCTTCTTGAGCCAAGAGTAGAGTGCCATCAGCAGTTTATAGAGTAAGTTATGCGCAAAGTAGAAGAACTTGCCATATTTTTACATATGGCTCTCTAGGACAAGATGAATTACTATGAGATAGAGGTGGCCTTTAAACTCAAATGACTTGGAAGTTGGGAAACTGCACAAAAGGTAGAACTGATGAAATTTCTTGAGATTTCACCTTGTTACACCTTGTTTCTGCAATCTGAGACAGATTACAGAAACCTCAAAATCCTGCAGGATCAAATAAAAATGTGGAATACATAATAAAATCCAGGAATCTGTATTTGATTAGTCAGTGCAACTCCATGTGTTTGTGGTATGCAGTGTGTGCCTGTCAGTTTGCCCATGCCAGGGGTTGCATTGCAAATATCTGAGTGCAGGGAGGGTGGGGTGATTGTTCTCAACTCTGCTCCTTCATTTTATAATCAAAAGGAGGATTTCCTGTCTCGGCGTTGCAAGCGAAGCAAGAGGGAGTGTGCGTCTGCTCCAGTTTTCCGAATCCCATCATGCTACTGTGCTACGTTTACAGAGTGCATTAGGTTCACTGAGACCAAGCATGCAAATGGAGCAGACGCTGATCGCTGCCAAGCAACCTCATCTACCTCAATGAATTTCAAGATTTCTTCATGGTTGTCTTAATTATCATCACCATCATCATCATCATCATGCACTTACATTGCTTGTGAACTCAGCCAGGTCATGGTAATGTGCTGGAATGTGTGTAAAGGACAAGATTGACTTGTGGAGCACAAGGGATCAAATGAGGAAGAATTTATTTCACTACAGTCAAGAGTTTGCCTTGAGTATTTTTGACATGATTAAATACTGGTGGATTAAAAAACCCTGGGATAGAAAATTTGAACTTTTACTAAGTAATGTAGTAATAATGTAGTAGTAATGTCATAATTTTAGACAATGTGCAAAAAGAAAGGGACAAAACAATAACTCACTGCTTATTATATGCTCCAGCAGGTAATGAGCCTTCTTGCTTTCAAATAAATACAATGACACAGTGAACTGAATTTTCTATTGTTGTGGTTTGAGTCGAGAGTTTCTCTGAGTGCATTAAGAGGGTGATGATGTACATGCACTTACAGGAATCCTGAGGGTAATCTGAATTTATCATCACTACACTTTGGATTCGAATGTGGTCCAACTGAAAGACTCAGTAAGCTAGAAATGTAGCCAGTTATCAGAGGAAAAGAAACCGATTTGTAAGGTACACAATTTATGCACACAATTTGCACAAATAAAGTATGTAAAGATAAAGAAAAAAAAAACTACTTTTGAACAGTCTGGATTGACACTGTTCGTATATGTATCACAGGTAGGCACCTAAAGGGTTTGACATATATGGAGGTGGTGGGCCCATCGTCTGCATGGATAAGAATTGGGCTCAGGTGCAGAGTAATAAGGGCAGCAGGATAAGTCAGAGACCTGGGTGTGCCAATCCCTGGCATCCTCTAGGGATGTGGAATGTTGCCTCTCTGATGGGGAATGATCCAGATTTGGTGCTGGAGGTGGAGAGGTGCCAAGTAGATATAGTTGGGCTCACCTTCAGGGACAGCACTGGATCTGGAACATAACTCCTGGAGAGGGGTTGAACTATTCACACCCAGAGTTGTCCAGGGTGAGAGGCGCCCAGCTGGTGTGGGGATACTCCTAAGTCCTCAGCTGAACACTGCTTTTTAGGAATTCACCCTGGAGAACGATGCACCCACACAACTGCAAGTCGCTTGGAGGAAGACGCCAACCATTGTCTGTGTTTACACACCAAACAGCAGTTCAAAGTATCTGGCCTTCTTGGAGAATCTGGGTGGGGTCCTGGAAGGGACACGACCTGGGGACTCATAGCATTCCAAGCTCCAAGCCCAGCCATGCATCATGCCCAAGCTCCAGATCCAGGCCAAGTCAAGCAGCATGTCTAAGCTCCTCCTCCTCTAAGCTTCAGTCACTCAGCATACCCAAGTCTCAGGCCTCCAGCAGCACATCCCAAACCTAACGTCAAGCCACAACTGGACACTCAAGCCCCCATCAGTTGTCAAGCCAAAACCCCAAGCTGCCCCTGCAATCAACAACCTTCTCTGCTCTCCAGCACCCTGGAGTCACATCATGTTACCGAGCCACAGTTATCCCACGTCACCACTGAGCAGTGGCAGCAGAAATCCCTTGAGATCACTGCTGGGCAGCAGCAGCTCCACAGCATCCCCATTATACCACAACAGCTCCTCAGAGTCGTTCACCACCAACACTGTCTGTTCTTGTAACATCAATGCCATCTGTTCCTAAAGTCAATCCTGAGTCAACCTGATCAATGCCCCAGTGTGAACTACCTGTGCCTCAGCCCTGCCTTCTAGTTCCATGTTTCCATATTCTCCTTTTGTTCTTTACTCTTCTCACTTATGATTTCCTAGTCAGTGTTCAAGCTCTATGCGTACCATGGTCATGTTTGGACTCAAGTTTCTGGTCTGTAGTCCTGTTTCATGTGTTCCTTATTTAATTACAGACTCTAGTATTCTACTTAACCACCTGCTTGTTAAGAGGAAGTGTGTTCACCTTTTGGCTGCAAAGTATTTGATTTGGTCTTTGTGAATTTAGTGCCCATTTTCTGTTTGGTGATTTTGTTTGGACATTGCTTAGATGTTTAATTTTGTACCTACATTCCTGTTTTAAGATGAATGCCTGAGTTTTGTGTTTCAGTGTTCCCTGTTATAAGCCCGAGGTCAATTTTTGTTGTAGTCTACATTAGGTTTTTGCCATGTTTTTGTTAGTCTGCCTCAGCACATTCCACAGTGTTTTCACCTGTTTGTTTAAGTTTATGAAAAAGCCAAGTTCTTCACCCATTCCTTGACTCTGTCTAGCATAATGACTGGGACAATGATTTTTCTTGACACTTTCACATCATTATTAAATCCCAAATGTTAGACAGCACAGTTGTTGAGAAATTTCATAATCAGAATTCAGTTTCCAGAGGATTAAAATGTCTGTTTATACAGGACAATGAGGGCAATGTTTGAAAATCCCTAAGGCTTAGATAAAAATCGTTTTTATACACAACATATGTGTATGCAAGGGTTTTGGTTTCTCGGATTTCCTTGTTTTCACTTTTGATAAAATGATGTAGTTAACCAGACACAAGCTAACAGGTGGAAATGGCTGTATAGCTCCTTGTACTGTATGTTTAGTTTTGCAGTATGTCATGTTTTGAGTGTTGGCCTAGAAAGTAGGAAGTGACAAGTTTATCGGCTGTTCAGTTGAGCTTCAGTGTTGGCCATACAGCCTACAGAAAAAAAAAAAACAAAAAACAGTGTGACTTGTGATTTTTATCTGCAAATTACAGCTTATGTGAAAAATTTATAGTGACTTAAAATACTCCATTTTGTGGAGGATATGGGTTGAATAACAAAGAAGTTAGAAAACTTAGTCACAGAATCAAACCAAACCAATGACAGGTTTTTCTGTAGTACCTCCCATGTTAATGTTTTTACAATTGCTCTTTATGTTTTCAGAGTTACCTCATTTACAGTGGGCTGTGGTTGTTTAATAACTGGTCTTTTTAAAACAATTAAATACCTAAGAGTTGATGGAACAAT